CAAATTGTATAAAACATTGCATTGCCTTACACGAATAAAATTTTCATAATTTTCAATTCATTTTCCCACAATTTAATAGTAACAAATAACCAATCAAAACTAATGAAACAGAATTTAATTAGATTCAAACAAATAATACTGTACTATTTATAACGCATAACTTTTTCAGAATTTCACAAATAACCAAACAAAAACTAATAAAACAAAATTTAATATAGTATAGTCAATCAAATTAAACCTCTGAGTTTGGAAAGGGATGGACAAAATTTAATAGGATTCAATTAAATTATACTGTACTATTTATCACGAATAATTTTTTCAGAATTTCACAAATAATCAAACAAAATTAATAACACAGAATTTAATATAGTATATTCAAAGAAATTAAAACCTCTGCGTTTAAAAAGGGATGGACAGAACCTTTGGAAAGAAAACCTAAGTCTGAAAACTGTAACAACCGCGACCTTCTTCCAACTCCACTTCCGAAAACCTTCTGCAAACCTAACTCTGACAATTGTAATAACCACGACCTTCTTCCAACTCCACTTCTGAAAACCTAAGTCCGACAACTGTAACAACCTCTTCCGTGATCTTTTTCCAAGTCCTTCTCCTTCTTCCAATATTCGACTTCCCTTTCCTTCCCTTCCGACCTATTCGACGACCTAGAAAATGAAAGATATTTTGGGGGATTTTTTAATATAAAGGATATTTCAATAAATTCTCCTAAATATTTAATATATACAAGTGTATATACACTATAATATATATATATACACTAACATATACACTACAAATACACTATGTAACAGCTGAGGGTAACTTTTTCATACAAATTTTTTTTAATTGACGTGGCTCTATCTAGGCCACACATCGGAACTGACGGAAACAGGTACCGGAGACGATTTCCTTTCGAGTGATGGGTGTAGTCAAAAGATAAGAAGGAAATGGAAGTAAGCAAATGGTGCCGAGTTAGAGAGATAAGAGGTGGTACGGTGATAGTGGCGGGGCCCACTAGGATTTGTTTGGCCAAAAATTCACTTGGCTCTGGCTCTGTGCACATGGGTTGATAAGTTGATGATAAAGTCAGATGAATGTAAAATAAGGATAAAGGAAAAGTTATGGTAAAGATAGTGGTGGCGGGGTCCACTTGTGATTGTTACCTTGATATTTGATATTTGTACGTGGACTGTTGTGAATTATTGTGTTGGTGCACTTTCCTTTATATACCTGTTTAATAGCTTGGTGAGGAAACAGAAAAGAAAAGTTAGAGAATTAGAGAGATAGAGAGAGAGAGAGAGAGAGGGCCGAGATTTTTGAGGACACACACAACCGAGATGCAAAGAGAGGGCTGAGAGTTGAAGCTTGGTGATTCAGTGATGATATAATTCTTTTTTCCGTGTACGGTGCTTTATAGCTTGAATTGTTTAGGGTGATTTTATCATAATTATTTTGCGACTGTTATTTGGCTCAATCTGCATATATGTATTTTTGTTTAAAGCATATCTATATTTTGTGCAGGTAATTTTCATGAAACCTCCTTAAAATTTTTGTTATGGTTTTTGTTATGGTTTTTCTTACTAGGACTTTTCCCGTCTCACCCCCTTCCAGTTTCAGGTATCTAAGATGAACTTGGATTTTTAGTTGCAGAATTAGAGTGCAACTGTGTTGCGGGATTTAATTCATTTATTTAGAGATTTTGTGTATATATTTTGAGGAAATTGATTCTTGTATTAATAAAGGAATATTTTTTTATGATCCTGGATATATATTGAAGTATTTTGATTTAATGAGATTGAGGAAGTTTTATCTAAATTTTCGGGTCGTTACAGTCATTATTTGGGCAACATATATATATTTGTATATAAATATATCTATATATGTGATTGTGGATATCGAGAGAAAATTCTAATGAAAAAGGTAAAGAGAGAAATAATATCAAGGAATCGCCCGCTAGCTATCACATATTGGAGACCGCAATTGCCATCAAGGGGCCTGATTGGATTGGCTAACTTAACCTTGTTGCTTGTATTTATCTTCTACTTGGGTTTAATTAAATTCAATGCCACTTGCATGTTGTTTGAGAATATATATTATAATAATAATAATAATAATAATAATAATAATTTTGTATGTTTAAGACGGTTTTCATTTTATCTTTTCTCCCACCTTCATAAGAATAAACCATAGGCATTTCCCCCAATCGTTAGAATTTTATGACAAGCAATATACATTGATTCGAAATCTGATTCAAATCCAATATAGCATCTTTAGTAATTATGTATTGAACCAAGGCAAAAGCTTCAGTAACGGTCAGACGATAGTAAAAAGTCATAGCAAACCCCGTAGCTACTTGTACTAACGTGGGCTTAGCGGTTCTAGAACCATCAATGATTGGTGAACAAGCAGATCCATTTGCAACCCCCTTGGCAATATTACCTTAATGGTATTTCTTTCCCGTATTTCAAATACTTCTTACAATACCCAATAAACTGTTGAGCGTAAAAAAACGTGAATGAGGAGGAGACAGGAAAAAAAAAGATTATTTAAGGATATAAATCGTTGGGTCTAATATTAATTTTTTATATTTGTTAGGTCTAATAATATTAGAAAATAATTATTATATATGGAAATTAAAAATTTTGGGGGCCTCCCTATTGGTTGACATTAAAAAAATTTAGGACCTTCCTATTGGTTGAGGCCTTAGGCGACCGCCTAAGGGTTGAACTGAACCAGCCCTGATAATCTCTGCACATAATCATATTCAACGATCTCTATGCTTTAAGTCATATGTAGCACATTTTGTGCACAATTGAAGATATATATATATGCCTGTGTGTGTATTTTAAGATAATGATTTAGACTCCGAAAGTCGGATAATTCCGACTGATTTATGTGAGTATGGGAATTGATGCCATTAATATTCATAACGTCATGATGGCATTGGTCCATATCCCATAAAATTAGTTGAATTTAACTCTCAATCATTATCCTTGTTTTTTATACAATTTTTTACCTTCGACGTTGTGATCATATCCAAAGTTCACTATTTTGAATGAACACGATTTGTGCGCATTTGAAAGAACAATTTTTTTAAGGGTTAATATTATTGGGAATTGTGTGTCCTGGCATAACGAATTCTTACTTAAATAGTAGAGACATGTGTTCCTTGCGTTAATGTGAAGTAATATTTATGCTTTACACAATTAGTGAATACAAATGTTTTAGGTTTTGAGTTATTATAGAATTAATGTGTCCACTTAATTGTAAGATAAATTTATATGTATGAGATGGCGATCAATACAAGTATGTAAATAGCGATCATAAATAATTCATTGTTGGTAATTAAGGATGGACTCTTAACTAACACGAAAAAGTTGGGATGCACTTTACAAAAATGTTGGGATGCATTTTAGGAAAATATTGGGATGTAAGGCCAACATCCCAACATTTTCTTAACATATATCCAAAACTTTTCTCACCGGTGATTAGATATGTTGCTGCGGCAGAGAGGATTTGATCCCATAAACCAACCGAAACAAAACCTAACTTTGTTCCCCTAAAACATAATTAAATTTAATCGCACTTCAATACTCACAACCATGAATGAATGGTAAGACATTATACTCTGAAACACTCTCTTCCATCTTATCACATTCCTTTTTCGGCCACTCATGTACTCTACAAATCCTCTGATTTTTTCTCCTCACAAACAAACATTAAAACCCACAAATAAGTGCACAATAAAACCCTCTACTCCAGTAGAAAATCTAAAGAGACCTCTGGAGATGTTTGTATCTACTTTAAACCAAATAAGTTTACGCATTAACCAGCGATCAATTAAAATATAGCATTAATTTACTATTTTTGGGTTTCTTCTACTTATGTCCCTTTATTCTTAATAATTAATTTTGTTCTTCTACCATTCATTTCTTATGGAAATTAGAGGATTTCCTTGCAAATAAAATATGAAAATTAGAAATCGTACCTCTTGTGCCTCTCTGCTCCGATGTTCCACTTTAAATTTGGACAAAAATGACCTACTATACGAAGAAATAGAATCTTGCTTCTATTTGGAAATAGCGTCATGCTTCTATTTGGATAAGGAGAAATAGAGTTCCTGCTTCTATTTGGAAACAAATCAAAATCTGAATATTTTGGGAGAGAAGAAAGGTTGAATGGATATTTTGGGAGAGAAGAAAGATGGGCGGGATTTGCAATTTCAAATGGATTGCTGAAAATTCATAAGAGAGGGAAGGAGAATACGTATTTCTCAACCGTGTATATATGGAAATTGTATATAAAACTAATACAAATTTTTACATTCCTTAATTAATACTGTTCATTTACTAAAATGGAAGAAACTGGACATGGTTTAACCGGAGAGGATCCTGATCTATAATTATATATGCATAAGATGCACTAAGTGTTAATATGAAACAAGTGTCATACTCCTTTTATGTAACTTGGATCACACTTCACTACCACTATTCTTCTATTCGGAAATCCAAGTACTACATATGGAAATGCAATGTCCAAATAAGTAAGAAGTATAGTAATATAATTACATTAACGTAACCAGTACTTCATATTGAATCTTCCTTTTCTTTTTTCTTTTTTGGCAAGATTGAATCATATGTAGGACACTAATAATTTTTAAGTGGTTTAATGTCATATGAGGCCAACATAGTCATTTTATCTAACACGGCTAAATTGCATATTCAATGCTTCACCTGAATATTAAAATATTTTTGAATCATTTGATTTCCAACTTCATGTCTTAACCACTCAAAATTAGACTTATATACATATTTATAAATTTATAATACAGATGGCACTTTGCAAACAAAAAATAAATCTAAAGTAGACCCAACCAAGGAAGATTCAACTCAACATGAACTATTGCAAGGGGCGAAACCAATGAGATCACTAAAAATAGAGGGAAAAAGAAGGTACTAACGTATATCAACGCAACCATAAACATAGAAATGAGAGCGCCAAAATAAAACCAATAAAATATCAATGCTATCCATTACTTTTCCATTGTTTATCTTAAAACATGATAATGTTTCCATACAAAATGAAAAATAAAAAGTGTAGTACAGACCCAGCCATCTAGGTCCTCCCAACAATCATCCCTGGTGTTGTAGTAAGACGTTTCTTGCACTGTATGTTGTATGCAGAGCCAGAATATATGAACAGTAGTGGACTTGGGCCATTTCTGTACAATAAATTTTTTTCCCCAAAGAAAAAATTTTTACGACACTGTTTTCAATAAACAAGTTCAAGAATAAATATGTTGCCACCTTTCACCTAAACAAATTATAGAAAGATTTTCCAGCCTGAAAAAAAGAAAAAAAAAATGGTTTTAGATCTGATGGAGAGACTAATTTTCTGTTGAAAATCACATCAACAGCAACAAAGTGCCTCGAGAAGAATCTAGTACAAAAATTGCAGTGGTCCATCTTCGAGTAAGCTAGCTTACACGTCTCTCTGAAGAACAATGATGAAATGGTACTCCTCTCAATCTCCAAAAGCTTCTATGAACTCTATTTACCATTAGAAATTGTTCTTTGGCAAAGCATCTTCAGACAGAAAGCAGTACAACATGAATTCACGTAGATATTGGAGCAGGAGTCACTTTGCAAACCTCAGTATTGAAGCCGCAATCCATCAGAAACAGTAGCCATGCTCGCTGCTGTTCAGAGAGCCTATCCCTGGGACCTTTAACTTCAACAAGCTTCGCTTCACCACTGTAATCTCCATGGAAGCGCCATAGCAATAAATCAGGCATTCCACTGGACCAACTCCGGTAATCTTGAGACAAGTGTCGGCAGATAGAGGCCAGACAAGGTCCCCTGATGCACGAAACAGCTGCCCGAAGCACAGACAAGGAATGTCGGTCCCAATTAACTCCCCGACAAGTTGTTCCTACATGTGACTCCCAGGAAGTGATAAGAATCTCCTCAGCCATGCCATCACAAAGTTTTTGTAGGTGAGATTCTATGAGGTTCTTTCTCACTTCATAAAAGCTATCAGTCTCAAAATCTAACGGGGCACTCTGCAAGCAACAAACTCAAGTTTATAAAGGAAAGAGGGGGGGGGGGGGGGGGGTGAGGGGGGGGGGTGGGGGGAAAACATTAAAATTTATAAATATCTTGATCTGGAACATGACAACGCAAAACATTTTAATGAATTCTTCAATAATAACAATAAAAATATATATATATAAATACAGCAGTTCTAGCTCTTAGAAATTTAGGGCTCACTACTACATCACAATGCCCCCTTTTACATAAACAGCAAAAACTTTTTTTTTCCCTTTTCTTTCCCCCATTTTTTTTTTTTTTCTTCATTTTATCTTTTTCCTACTAATGATACAAAGTGCATCCCTAGAATCTTTGATATTTAATAGCAATCATTCCTATTAAACAGTATAAGTCCCAACCATTCCGGTTAGTAACATAAAGGCTAATTGACCAAATCAAAGCCATACACCAGACAATTTAGCTCCTGCAACTGTTTGCAGGGAGCGCATATTGGCCTATTATTTAACAAAAAAACATTTGTTTTACACAAAAACCAAATTTGATGTAGCCAATCCCAATGTACTGCTACTAGAAATCAAGCCAAATCTGCAGAAGAGCATGGAATTGCACTGAAACCAACAGCATCTAACATATAGCCTTCAAGTCCAATTAGCAATCGCAATTAGACTTAAAGTGGCATAATAAACTTGATTTTAAACCCTTCAAATAACTTGGCTGTTTCCTGATAAATAGAATTCAAACTCTATTACTATGCTGTAAGAAAACTTGTGAGTTTGTGGAAGCTCTTAACCTTGTAGTAGCTATTTATTTACTTTAATGTCAATGTTGTGCATTCTAACATGTGAGCGCACTCCCTTGTTGATAAAATAATACCGATATAAATAATATTGGGAAAACAATGTATAGGTAGAGTTAGGAGTCCTAAATATCCTTATTGCAAAATACCAAAATATCCTTCTTGAGATAATATAATTACAAATTAATGCCTCTTTAGTTCCTGTTTATTTCCTTCTCCAATATACATATATATATATATATATATATATATATATATATATATATATATATATATATCAAAGTTGTCCCAAATTATCTATCTGTTCAAAGTGATTGAGTGCATAATCTATACTAAGACCAAATTCGCAAATAAAAATTAAAAAGTAAAAAAATAAACAAACTCCCCAAAAGAAGTGAGGTAATTATGAAATCAGTCCCTTGCAGGTCTTCTCAATGTTGGAGAAAAGTATTCTAACTAGCTACTAGGAAAGAAAAGAGATATTCTTGCAGGTCTTCTCAAGAGTTTCTAGCTTGCTTTTTCAAACCCAAATCAAAGAGTTAGAAGAGGAACAGATTATTACAACCCTGTGGGGTGTATCCAAGTAGGAAGGAATGAATCTATGGAAATGAACACAGAAAAGACGAACCACTAGAAGAGGGTATTGTAGATTATAACAAATGGTAGGCTATCATATTTTATAAAATAAATTTAGGTTTGTAAGAGACTCTGTAATAGATTATCTCTTGTTGCAATGGATTCGATTTTTTTTTTTTTTTATGGATTTTCTTCTCTAACGTACAACGCTTCTTTCAAGTACAGAAACCACATATAAGGATCCGATAATTTCCTTTTATATATATATATATATATATATAATGGAATTATATGATATTAAGAATGATATTTTGGTATTTTGAAATGGATAATATTAAAAAGGATATTTTGATATTTTGGAATGAGAGTTTGGAGGGTATTTTGGACCTTAACAAAAATTCTTGATGCATTTGTAATTATTTTGTTTAATTCAATCAAATTAAAAAATGAACTTTTAAAATAGATTATTTTGTTATTTAAGACTCCTAATTCTACTTATATGTAGTTTTCCCAATAATATTTTACTTTTGTGGTTAAACAATCTGGTAATACATTGGACTACTTTATCAGTCACCAAAATATATATATATATGCTAACATATGCATAGTCAAATCTCTGCTATTATGGTAAGTCATTCCATAAATCGTGGTATCATATATGCTAACATATACATATATTTATTTATTTATTTATATTGGAAAGGATATATATAGTGTTAAAGTACGCCTGTCATGGCCGTAAAAGAAGTATCAGGCTCTACTTTATTAAACTGAGCAAGAGACAAACACCAACTGAGCAAAATTTCAGTGTGCCAACTGCCACGATGGAATTCATCCAGAAAGTTGAGCAATATCATAAGCTTGAGCACTTAAGACTCTTGAACCAAATTCCATGAACCACCACATCCACACTTGGTTCTCACTTTAAATCACGGCCCATGCTAGTTTGCAATGTGCAGCAACATCAGTGTCATTAAGCTTCCTCATAACAAACCCGTCCTCACTCTTCTCTGCTTGCAAACAAAATACCACGCCCATGCTAGTTTGCAATGTGCAACAACATCAGTGTCATTGAGCTTCCTCATAACAAATCCATCCTCACTCTTCTGCTTGCAAACAAAATACCACTTGAATGCATGCATACAATGTCAACATAAACCTAGAAGAAAAATCTTTTATATGTCCATAAATGACTAACATGTAGAAAAATTAATTCCTTTGTCACTAAGCTGTAGCCTCGGGTATGTGGTTTGGGAAATCCTCCACTTCAAACCCTAACCCTGACTAATCGCAGTCTTTCCTTTAATAGCTATGGATAAATAAATGCAACTCTTAGATACTAACAATGAGTCCTTGACTTCATGAGAATTTCAAGAGCGCCTCTCTGTATGCTTTAATGGAAGTAATATCAGCACGTGTACCTAGCAATAAGTCGTATGCAAAAATGAGGTGGGATGTATGACGGATCCATGTCTACCTTGGCCATATTGTTGTGAATTGTTATTATTATTATTTCTTTTCCCTCTTGAATATATTTTACCAAAAAGTAACTCGGCTACCAACAAAAATAACAAGGCAATGAGAGGCATTCTTGCCCAAACCTCTTCCAATATAAAAATAGCCTACCGGCAATCCATTAACCAGCTTACATCGATGATCTTTGCAATTACAGCCACTATCATCAATCCTTTCATTTCACCAAAAACAATTTGCTTCCTTCTAAGTGGTCCATTGCTCCGTTGTTCTCGATCTCCAAAGCAATGAATTGATTGACAATCAGTTGAAGCTTTTATTAAGAGTAGCAGCTCTCAATTAAATCACAAGATTTTGTAAATGTAATTTCTGCATAAGTCCAAATGACATCAATTAAAGAGAGCCTCTTTGTCAAAAGCAAAACTAGGGTTTTTTTAGTGCACAAGGATCTATCCTTTTTTATTATTATCATAGCAGTCTGCTACCAAGTTGACATAGGATGGATGATGAGCTCTGATGCCAAGTTGATGCAGGACGAGTGGGTTTATTGTGATATAGATTTAGAATCAGAAAGAAAGAAGGGGATGAGAATGAGAAGATGGAGGTGAGAAGACAGGTGAAGATGGTGAGAAACGGAGTGAAATAGGTAGGCTGGACAGACGGAGGGGTTTGAGAACAGCAAGAACAATGAGGAAGAAGGAGACAAGGGAGAGTTCTCAAACTCACGATCAAAATTCAATAATCCAAAGTTAAATCGTCTGATTATATATGAGCCTTTATATAGGAAAATTATTAAGCAAACCCTATAACATAAAAATACCAAAATAAACCTAAAATTCAAAATTACCAAAAATAACGATAAGCATAAATAAAAAAACCCTAATTTACTAAAATTCCTAACTCTATCTTTCTTTTCCCCTTCTCCAATAGTAAGTGCTGGCCATATACGGTTCCAAGATAACCTTTGCCAATTTCAGGTAGATAAGAATTACAAACCTGTGCTTGGTTTAACACACGAATCCTTACAAGCCCAGTACCTGCTGACGTCGAACTTCCTTCCACAATCTTCGCATTTGCAGCCATTGACTGTTGAAGCAATTATTTCACCTAAAAAGATTTGCCTTCCCTAAAGTGATCCTGTGCTCCATTGTTCTCGATCTCCAAAATGGTGGCTGATTCAGTGACACGCATGGCTATCAATTTAATCACAAGATGCCATGTAGGTAATTTCTAAATAGTTTCCAATGATGTAAACAAAGAAAACCACTCAAATAGAAAACAAAAAACTAGGGCTTTTGGGTGCCCAAGAATCTCACATCTTTTTCCCTGCTCTTCACTCTTCTCTACCTTCAAATTGTGTGAAATCTGACTTATAAAAACCACAGGTCGTGTGAAGAATTAGAATTTTAGTTGGAGCAGAATTCCAGGTTGAACTGGGAATCGCACAGTGAACACCGGCACATAAGTTTGATGTACCGGTGCATGGGGCATACTGCCTTGAATGTACTGGCGCATGTAGGAAGATGTACTGGTGCATTCAGCTTTCTAACGTACATGTATTCAGGGAGATGTACTGTGTATATAACTCACTAGACTGAATGTACCAATCATTGAAAATCATATATTGGAGCATTTGGTCCACTGTCAAGTCGTTTCCCCAACTCACTATTTTAAACCTTTTATGCACCAAATTCCTTTCAAATATCATTCAATTAACTATTGAAGTCTGCAACCTAGTTCATAAGGTGGTCCAAACCATCTACACCTTTACCTACCTATTTACTAAGGTCTCTAACATCTCAATTACATTTAACCTAACTGTGATTGAATATCATGCAGCATTAAATGTTATATTCTGTTGTAGCTTCCATCTCCATTCATCAACCAATACTCATGCTTGAATCTTCCTTGCCAAGGGACTTGTATGTACTCATTACATCTGGACTCTAGGTACATTTTGTTCAGCCTACCCGAGAAAACTCAACTTTGCAACAGAATTTACCAACTCAACAATATTCCTAACATGAAGCCTTCTAAATTTAGTAACCATAATTAGAATACAACATTGCTTTGCCAGGAGCTGACTTCAGGTAAGTCAAGAAAAAAATAGACAATATTTCTTCAAGCTGAGAACAATGCAAATGTAGGAACATTTTAAGAATCTAATAATAAATTTAGGTAGTGAAATTTCCAACACATTCTTTCTCCATTTCTTCTCAATATCAGATGATCCCTCAAGCACTAAAAAGTTTCCTTCTTCAAATTGGGTTGATGAAGAATATTTGAAAGGAGAAACCAAGTATTCACCCTACACTTCCGATAACATGCTTCACTTCTCAAAGCTTTAAGAATAAAAAATTAGGTGGTCTCATATGTGGGGAGAAAGAGGGAGGGAGGGCTAGAATTTACATTTTTATCGAATTTAGAAAGAAACAATGTTTGCATTGATTCATAGAATCAACAGTGGGGGAAAAAATTCATATCTATACATCTTATTACAAATGTGATGGATGAGCTATGAACCATCTGGTTGTAAAGATTGGAAGCATAAACTCAGTAATGAAAACTAATGTGCATGGCTGAGCTATGAACAATCTGATCATAAAGATGAGAAGCATTAACTGGGTAACTAAAACAAAGGAAAGATGGAAGCTAATATAGCTCACTAGAGAATACCTGAAATCTGGTGCGGAAAACATTTGGTACATCTGTAAAAATAATATCCCACATAAGAAGCCCAAAAATAGTCAACCAAATGCCACTCTCTGTATGAACCCCCTGCCAGCCACCTCCTTCTTCGGCATAATATTGCAGAGCAAGCTGCTCTACTCCACACTGTTCTCCATCTTCACCATAAAACCTGCTCTTCATCCCTGTTTCGCAGTTCAACGGCCTCCCTTGAATATGAACCTACTTATTAGCCAAGAAAAATAGTTGTCACTATTAGAATACCATTCGTCACTAGGTAATAACATAATAAACTTATAGACACGATTTGACTTAAAATTTAACTGGCACGATAAAGCTTAAGCATTCTTGAGCAAATCATATTAACTGTTACCTCAGTGATCTTCCTCTTGACAGACTCTGAATAACTAGGAGTCCTCCAGCGCCTTGGTGGTTTACCCAAGCGTAGAACCCGCCTCTGCAGTGCCATTCTTGATCCAGCACGAATCCATCTATCCAGTAACCCACCTTCAGCCACTGAAAGACTCTCATTGAGACGGCCCACATGCTCCAAATCAATTGACAGTCTCAAAGTCCAATATCCTCTTCTTCCATCAGCAGTAAAATAAATTAGCAGCCGCTTTAGTAAATTAATTGCAGTGTTGTACCTAGGCAAGACAAGCAAGCTCATTCAGACAACTAAATAGCACAGCTGGTCACAAGAAAAGTAGATTCCCAGCATCACCATGCCAGCAAGTTGTCATAGTAATTTATCATCTGCAGTAGATGTTAGTTTCTGAGTTTGTTTCATCTTCAGGAAACCCATTGCCCATTGTTTCATTGAAAAGAAGTGCAGTCTGGAAGTACAATATCGTAGATTGTATAGACACAAGGCAAAAGAATTAAATATGACAATTTATTTTATTTTCCAGCATTTTGCAACTAGGAAACAATTCACTGAATCCCAGAAAACCTTGATCACAAATTTTTCATATTACCATGGACAAAGTGGCTTAAAAGCTTCCACATATAGGGGTGGTAAAATTCGGCACGAACCGCCAACACAACATTAAGTTAACGGGTTTGGGTTGACCTTAATCGTGTTTATGTCTTAATTCTATCAACCCATTTAATTAATCATGTCGTGTTTTAGAGCTCAGCCCGGTTGACCCGATTAGACCCATTTAATTAATGTGTCAGTTCAACCCAGTTAACCAGTGTTTTAACTCAATTACTGTAGACGTTTTTGTTATTTCAATATATATTTTTTTTATCGGTAAATTATTTCAATATAAATCCAATATGGATATTGTATTTTGCATAAATTTAGTCATCCACTATGTTATCTTTTTCAATTTTTTTGCATTTTATACTTAAATTAATAAACGGCTTCCATGACCCATTTCAATATAAATAGATTATTAAACAAGTCGTGCCATGTTGTGAGTTAAATGACTCATTTATAAACTGTACACAGGTCGGGTCGGCTTGCGTTGCCTGTTTGATAAACAAGTCTCTGTTCATGTCAAGCGTTTTCGACACGATTATTAAACAGGTCGTGCTAGGGTTGACTTATATAACATAATATTATTAGGCCTCGGCAACACCAATTGCACCCCTAAGGCCCTAACCACATAGAAAAGGTACATTGCATGTTATTATTTCTACTATGATATCTTCGCCCTGTACTGAAATTTTTTTTTACCTACAATATATTAGTCATACAAGATATTAAATTTAGGATTAGATTTATAAAATAAAATAAAAACTATGCACTCTACAAAATATGCCAAGGAGAATATGAGATAAAAATAGAAAAAGAGAAGAAGGGGGTGAAAAGAAAGATGAGAAGTGGTGAAAAAAGCAAGAATAAGAGGTGAGAAAGAAGAGCCGAGGAGAGATCTCTTAATAGTCAAAATAATTGCAAAATCAAGTTTGTAAACATAATGGAACCCTATTATGTAAGACTTTAAACTCATCCTCTTCAAACGGCTCGTCTTCAATAACTTGACCCTCTTACTACAGAAAGGCTAAAACTTTCAAATAGATTTTCCAATAATGATACAATCACCTGAAACTTCATTCATCTGCTCACTGTTATAGGGAATATTCGATGCTGTTATTTTCATAATCTCATCGATGCATGAGAAAGCTGCAAGTTTGACATTACAAGTACTACAATTGATGCCTTCATTATTGGAGAAAGTGGGACTTGCATTAATCTGTATGAACTTTATGTACCTTGTATAGATGGTGATCAACTTGAACAGGAGTTTGTTGACTGAAGGTGGAGGTTGGATGTAATGTCTGTGTTATATATATATATATACATATGTAATTATGGTGTGTATATATATATTTGTGTGTGTGGTGTAGAACTAAAAAACAAAAAGAAAAAGGAAAATAAAAAGGAAAATGGGTGGGACCCACAAGCTATTTAGATTAGTGGCATTGGGTTGATTTCATTTCTCTCTGCATTCTCTCACGCTCGGTTCCCTCTCTCTCGCTCACTGGTTTTTTTTTTCTTTTTCTTTTCCACATCAAATTCAAGGCTTGATTTCTCCCTCATTTCTTAGTGTTTTTAAGTGCCGTTTGTGGCAAAACGGAGAGCATGGCGAGCTCTACACGTGTGTACCAACAATTTCAGAGCAACCTAGGGAGTCCGAAAATTGAGACCCATTTTGAGGGTTTGAGGTGAAAATTGGGGGTTTTGCTTAAAAGTGAGGTAGGAGTCTCTAATCCATATATTCTTGTGCCTTAGTGAGTATAATTATTGTTATTTGTTGCTTATTATGCTAGATTGAGTTGATTTTGTTTTAAGGTGACTAAACCTTGAAATTTGAGTATGTGGATATGTGTTAAATTTATGTTATGTGTGAAAAGCATGTTCTATGTGTTATTTTCCCTAGCCGATAATGTTGTTAACTTGCTAAAATTGTTGCATGAAAGCATGTTATGTATTCTTAGAAATTCTTGGAAGGTGTAATGTGAGATTAAACAATATTTCTTCAAGCATGTTATGTATTAACAGTTTGAAAGTGATGGTTTTGAATGTTGAAAATGGGGAGTGACATCGGCATGCATTGCAGCCCATAGCGTCATATTGTTTATGTTGAGATTGGTTATTATGTTATGCTTTCCCAACATGGCATGACCCCGCCCCCTATTGTTCTATTCTTTGTTTGGATTCACGGGGACACAAGAGGTGTGTCTTAGGCACCGCCTACTGAGCAAATTGCTCACCCTATTATTTAACATTTTTTTTTCAGGGAACGGGAAAGAAATGGCGGATGACATTCTACCACAGAATTAGTATGGAGTAGGAGCTTATTTTGTTATTTTTATACTTGGGTCTCACTATTTTTGTAAGACCAAGCATAATGTATTTTGTACGATGACTTATGGACTTTTAATATTATAAGTATACCTGTGGGCTGTAACTTTTGTATAAGCTGTCTAAATGTTGTAAAACATGGGCATTTGATATTAATCTTGTATTTTGGGACTGTAATTATGATATCTGGATGATATAGTATGTGGTTGTACCACCATGAAATGTATTATATGTTTATTGTGTTGAGACAGGTTAAAAATGCATTTAAACAGGTTGTTATAGGACGATTTTTAGTAGAAGTCATGCCGAATTTTTTTTTTTAATTTTGGCATCATTTAGGGTCGTTACAAATTTGGTATCAGAGCAGAGGTTCGAAAACCATTAGGACGACGGGAGGTCTACATAGGGGTTGCATGGGAAGTCATTTGCATAGTTTATGTGATTAATTGTTAAAGTGTCTTGCTATGTGCAAAAGCATGCTTAACTGTTTACTTGTTTACATGCTTACGTGCTTATGTGCTTATATTAATGTGTTCATTATATAGTCTTGCATGCTAAGTGTTAGTATAGCATCCTTTTATGCTGAGTTGTTCATGGTTGGACCTTAGTGTTATCGTTATTGAATCGTTTTCTTTGTTTTATAGAACGATGTCACGGCGTGAAGAACCAAGGGAAGTTGGCCCTAGGCCAACAAGGGGTGATGTTGGCGAGAGCTCGAGCTCCAATCCGGCAGAGCCAGTTGATGAGAACACACTTCTTAGAGATTTGATTGCCCTTATAAGTGTTCCTACAAGGAGGGATAATGTGGAAGCACCCGCAGCCGATACCGCAGCCGGTACCACAACCGATAGTGCAAGTAGAGGAGACGCCAGCACAGAAGCGTCTCAAGATTATTAAAGGGTTTTCTCAGTTGATGCCAGTGATGTTTGAAGGCGGTGCAGATCCCATGGTAGCGGATGACTACATGGAGCAAGTTGAAACTCAATTGACTTTTATGGATGTGACGGAGGATTACTTGAAAATCATCCTACCCACTTACAAGTTTACAAAGGATGCCAAGTTTTGGTGGAAATCGATCACAAATCAATATAAGATTGAAGAGATGAGTTGGGATAGGTTCAAGGAGCTGTTCTATGAGAAGTATTTTCCTGCTCCCAAGAGATGGGAGTTAAAGGATCAGTTTATTGACCTTATCCAAGGCAATATGTAAGTGACAGAGTACGAGAACAAGATCACTTCTCTTTCCCGCTTTGCTCCAGAGATGGTGAGTAATGAAGTTGATAAGGTTCGGAAGTTTATCTCCAGACTTAACTACAAGATGAGGCGGTTGTTAACAGCACAGGACATCAAGGTTTATTCTGAGGCAGTGGAAAGAGCATTGATGCTAAAGGCGAAGGCCAAAGATAAAGATGCAAAAAGGGAACAGTGGAAACAAAAGAGGAATGCAGGGTCATTTCCAGAGGGACCTTCAGGGAAGAGGAACAGGAGTGGTTCATCTCAGTTTCAGGAGCAGCCGTCTGCACGATCTGCTCCTACCACTCCTATGCTAGCTGGGTCAGATAAGAGTGCAGTTGTTTGTTATCAGTGTCAGCAGACTGGACATTACAAGTCCAGATGTCCTATGAACTTGACCACAGTTTCTACACCATCGAGAGCTTGTTATGGGTGTGGCTAGCAGGGCATCTGATTCGGGATTGTCCTACTCGGGGAGCAGGCACCGGTAGTGGCAGAGAGTCACAGCAGAGGCCGTCACAATCGGTTACGATCCAGTCACGTTTCAGACCACCGCCACCACCACAGCCTGCCATGTCTTCTCAGGGTTCACGACCAGCTAGGAGGGATACTTCTACTGTGTCGGCACAACAGTCTGGTGTTCAGATTGGTAGTTCTCAGGCACTGCAAGGACGTGTCTTTGCACTTGCACTGACTGATGCATCTCCTGGATCTTCAGTTCTTCAAGGTATATTTCAAGTGTTTGGTTCTTGGGCCCGTGTTTTGTTTGACTTTGGTACATCTCATTCTTTCATTTCATCATCATTTACACTTGCATCGGGGTTAGAGGTCAGTTTCATGGATCGGGCGTTGTGTGTTGATACGCCAGTTGGGGTTTCAGTGTCTTTGAGCCGAGTTGTGCGGGATTGTTCCATTGTGATAGCCGGGTGGACCTTTGTGTTTGACCTTATCCTCCTGGAGATGACTAGCTTTGATGTCATTCTCGGGATGGATTGGTTAGCTTTCTTTCATGCCACGATCGATTGTTACAGAGGAAGGGTTACAGTTTGCACTCCCAAGGGAGACTGTTTCTTTTTCGTGGGAGATCGGAGTGATTCCCAC